GTTCTGTGACAAGGCTGTAAATTCCTAATTGTTTTATCTGGTTACTATAGTAACTAGTTTAAACAATTAAGAAACTATAGTTAAACAAACTACAAATTAAAAAATTTAAAAAGTCATAAGATTCAAATTAGTCATTAAAATTTTTTGTTGTACTTTTAAAAAGAGACCTTACAAATTACTCTCTGCCAAAATTTAAATTTTGGCAGAGAGTAATTTGTAAGACTCAAGATGAGATATAGTTTATACTTTTCATTCTACTGCTGACTTTATAACTATTATGACAAAAAAAAAAAAGGTTTTTATAACAAAAAGGTTCAATTGTGCACTAGATGGAAACAAAAAGGTTTAATTGTACACTAGATGGAAACAAAAACGTGCAATTGTGCACAAAATGGAAACAAAAGGGTTTAACTGTGCACTAGATGGAAACAGTGAAGCAAGGGTTATTGCATTTTGGTCTTTTAGAACAAGCTGATCTTGAACCTGATCTTAAAATCTGTGACAGCTTGGGACTTGCAGTGGCTGGTGAATTTTAGCCCTAACAAAATTTAGCTGTTGACTGCTAACTTATTCTAAAATTGATGGTATTTTTATATTGATAAAAGACGCTTTCCTCTACTTTGGTCTTCTTGGATAAACAATTTCCACTGAACTCTCATGAAGACCATATCTACAATCAATTTCTACTGAACTCTCATGAAATATCTACAATCCATTACAAAGTTAGCATCTGCTAAAGTTTCTTTTTTTTTTTATAATACAATTTTCTTACTCCTGATTCCATTCTTTACCTTTATAAATCTCTTATTTCACTTTATATGGAATACAGTTTCATGTTTGGGCTGGTTTTTCTAAAAAGGCCTCCCTCTTTTAGAAATGGTCCAAAACACCATTGAAAAAATTCCTAAGTGCAGGTCACAGAAAAGATATATTAGCTAAAATTATTTGAGAGGATTTTTGGTTAATGTGTAATTTACTTAATGTAAAAAATAACAAATGTAAAAAAGTAAAAATATTTAACAAATAAAAGTAAAAATGTAAAAATGTTTAACAAATGTAAAAAAGTATAATATAAAAGTATAATATAATAAAATATAAGATAAAAATAAAAAGTGTAAACAAGTAAGCATGTATGCAGCAAAACCAGTGCTTTTTTTTTTTTCATCGTGTATGCCATAGCAATCTATATGAACTCCATTGCTTTAAAAAATAACTTCAAGTTAAAGAACTGTTTGTTAAGAAACTCTAAGATTATTTTATTTTTCAAAAACAAATTTTTACTGAACATTTAACAAACTCCAGCTAAAAAATGACTAGACTTGAGACTTCAATGACCTCCAACAATTTCTCCTTGATTATGGAAACTACACATCAAGTTTCGTCATATGCAAATCTATACATTCAATCAACTTCAAGTTTTAGCAACACCATTTTTCACAAATTCATACATAATAAAAAGCAACATATAAAAATCAGCCTAAAGAGGAAGGTACCCCCAGCAATAAACCTTGGGTCTGAAATAAAAGAAAATCAAAAACACAACCAATTTTGTTTGTGTACAAAAACAACATACCTAAAGCATTTACACTTCAAAACCTGATAACATAACTTTTAACATTATGAACATAATAAATGGTCTAATTAAATTTATAATAGTTCAGGCTTCAAGATCTATTGTGTCATAAAACATCAAAACTGAGATGACAAGCAGAATATAATGACAAGCAAGAGAACATGATTGTTGTATGATAAAATCCTAACCAAACATGGCAGATTTCTATTACTTGATGATAAAACACATGTAAAATATAAATTAAAACAAGTTGCAAGAAAAAGTTAATATATATGTGATGCAAGATAAATTTGCTAAACATTTTTTCTAGCAAATACTAATTTGAAAATACTTATTTGGAGAGCTTTATGCAGTTGTGGTACAAAGATTCATTTATTACTTTGCAAACAATCAATGTTGAAGATTATATAACAGAGTGCCTTCAAAAACTGTTGGATTACACTTTATCCAGGTTTATTACAGGACTAGCCAATTGTCATTATATTTGAACAATAATTAAATGATATAATGCTAACAAAGTTGGGGTGGTGACTAAAATTATAAACCTGCCTAATTGTCTAGAAAAATATCCAATCGAGAAACACTGGGCATTCAGTCTAACTTGTAGAAAACCATGGATATATCATATTAAACAAATGGAATGAAAATGAAATGTGTGCACTGAAAAATTCTCATCAAATGCAGTACAGAGCTTTTTGTGTATATTAAAATAAAATTTTTACATTTTTGAGTAGTTAAAATATTTTTTTATCTAGTTAAATTGTTTTTTAATGAGCTTTATATTTGATGTTCAACAAAAACTTGCAAAAAAGTAATTTAGTTGGTGAAACAAGTTTCACCAAGTAAGTGTTTCAGATAAATGAGTTTCAGCAGATAAATAAGTTTCAGCAGATAAATGAGTTTCAGCAGGTAAAAACATTAATTTATAGGTACTTAAGTAGAGAAGTTTTGAAAATTTAATTTCTGAAGACCAGTTAATACAGTAGACTTTTCAATAGCTAGACAACCTTGAGAAAGAAAAAATGAATCTAATTATATATAAATTATATAATTAGATTAGATAGATGGGTTATAATTATCTATAAATTATAATGAAATGAAATTTTTTAATATTAAAAAAATCTTTAACACAGTTTTATCATTTAACGATGTTTTTTTAAAAACCACAAAATTATAATTTTCTGATAAGATCAAAAATACCTGGCAATTGTATTCAACTTTAATCCCTTCTACAAGTTTTTTTATAACAGGCTCAAACCCATCATCAGCCCAGGCATGAGCACCACTATACTGAGGAAATTCTTCATTTTGGTTCCAATGAACAGCAGAAACATTTTGAAGAGATGAACCACATCCGTATTCCAAGTTACCAAGGTGAAATTGCAAAAGATTCATCTCGATCTAAAATTGTTTGAAAAATCAACTCGTGTTGTAGGGTTTAATAATAATAATTTATCTCTATAGTTTTATCAAAAAGATTTTTAGCAATTATAGTTTCAAAAGTTTAGCAAGTTTTTTGTTTTATTCACACTATATTTACTGTTTAAAGTTCTAAGACTGTAGAGAATTCTGCTCAGAACAATTATTAATGATAAATTATGGTATGTTGATATCTGGGAACATATTTTTTAATTGCACCACTCTTTCCCAGTATTGTAACAGCTATGATCATATTCATTGAATTGCATAAGTTGTATTCATCAAAAAATGTTAGTAATTCTACAGCAATAGTATTACCTTAGCTATATTTTAAATATATTGGGTATAACTTCAATGTTACTCTCCTATCTTTAAACACATTGTAAATAACAGGGTTGTCGTAACTCTTGAATAAAATTATTTTCACTAAGCATATTGCTGTTTATACTGAAGCCCTTTTCAACTGATGCTTAACCATGACCTAAGAATGAGTACAATAACTTAACAAAACCTTTTATTTTATACCAATTTATGTGGTTTCAAAATTGGTTCAAACAATTTCCAGTGTGGTATTTTTTAAATTTCAGTAAAAGATTAGATGGACTTTCTAACAACTTTCAAGATAAATGGTAATTTAAATTGTCAAAATGTCATAACGTGCGTTAAAAAACATATTACATTTGGTATTTCCCAATTTGTATCGTATTTGGCATTTGTCTCTTAACATGAAAAATTAAAAAAATTTTAAAACACAACAAATACAAATTTTCAAGCAATTTTCTCTTCCAATTTTCATTTATTCAAAGAAAAGTTATTATTAAACTTTTATTTCTCTCATCTAAGAAAAGAACGAGTGACGCAAAAAAAATATATATTCTATACAACTCTTATTCATTCGAAGTTTAATTACGCGAAACTTTTCTTTCTCTTTTGTTTTACTCTTTTATAAAGAGCGAGCGATGAAATAAAAACTTTTCTTTCTTAACATAAGTTTATACTTTGAGATTAAATTAGAAATAAAGCAACAATGAACAAAGCAACTAACAGATTAATCTGGGACTATTTTACTATTAATGAAAATAATCAACATAAACAACATTACCAGCAACAATTATCAAATAAACAACACAATATCGCATAATTTTAGGGGCTTTTTAATTTTATTGCTTAGTCGTTCTAAATAATAAGTAAATTTAGTTCAAGTTAATATTTCAATATTTACAGTTGCAATATAATAAAGAAATGATGTTTAATGTTGAACTTTTTATTTAATTATTTATTTTTTACCTACATTTGTTATAAAAAACATTTAAACCCCCGTCATTAAAACAATTTGTTTTAAATATATTTTAAAGTGATTATTCAAAGTAATTTCTTTCACTTGACTTCCCGAACTTCATGCAAAGCAAATTGAGATGAAATATTGTCTAACCAAATAAAAATGCTGTTACTAATTTTATAAGGGTAATTAATGCAAAACAATTTTATCAGAATCTTGATTGAGATAATAAATATTCACAATTTATATACATTAAATATATGGCGCAATAACAATTTATAGCAACAAACCAGCAATATTTGAGGTTTTTAATATCTTTTTAAATGTTAAAAATTGAAAGAAAAAAAAACTTAACAAATAATCAAAAAAAGTTTGAATAAAAATAAATAAAAATATTTCTAGAGTTTCATTTGTTAAAAGTCTACCGTGACGTCAAATACTAAAACTTTTATGAATTAAACGCGCTTCAAAGGGATCGCCAAAGGGTGCAGATTTCGATGTATAATTTAAAGACTCCGAGTTATTGAAAAAAAATGGAGAAGGGGAGCTTCGGCTAAAACAAAAACGTTAGTTTTTCTCGGTATGCATTCATTATTTATTTTTAATCAAAAAAACTTGGTTCAAACCTTTTTTTTAACATTATCTTTAATATGAACACAACATGTGTTGAGAGTTTGGGATCCCTTTAACGCAATCTTTTAACTTCAAAAGTAAAAATTGTTTAAACATCCTTTTTTCATTCAAATTTTCATTTAATTATTCATTTAATTTGCTTTAAAATAATTTTCAATTGCATAATCACAATACTGTGAGTATTGAAATAAAGAGTTTCTTTATTAAGGTTTTATCAACTTTATTTAACCATTGTTTTTAATGTAATTGAAGTTTTTATTGCTATGTATGAAGCCTAATATTAAATTCTTTAGTAATATATGACATTGATGGTTGTAACATATATAGTAGACACATCAAGTCATTGTTACATAACCATAACTTATGTCATACATAGAAAAAATCTATTAAATTAAGTATCCCATTACATAATGAAAGATAATGGTGAACCTAAGAGCTCAAAAAGTTAAAATGAAATAAATAAATACTGGTGTCATTTCTTTGCAAATGTTTTTCTGAAGTTCTTTAAGCTGTTCAGCCAAAGCCTCTAGAATACAAAGTTAAAATACTTTAATACAACATATAAAAAAAATTTCTTTATATCCTTAATGTTTATACAATATAATTAACATCGCTTAAATATTATTTAATATATTTAAATACCACTAAAACCAAAGAAAAAATATTTACAAAAGAGAACACACAAAAAAAAAAGAACACACACTCACACACACACAAACACAATAAAGACTCATCAGAAATGCATTTCTGATGAGTCTTTATTGATGAAACACAGTGTTAAATGAGAAAAAATTTTGTTAAGTGATTTTATACTAATTTATATTTATATATATATATGTAATATATATATATATATATATATATATATATATATATATATATATATATATATGTATATATATGTATATATATATATATATATATATATATATATATATATATATATATATATATATATATATATATATATATATATATATATATATATATATGTATATATATGTATATATATGTATATATATGTATATATATATATATATATATATATATATATATATATATATATGTATATATATATATATATATATATATATATATATATATATATATATATGTATATATATATGTATATATATATATATGTATATATATATGTATATATATATATGTATATGTATATATATATATATATATATATATATATATATATATATATATATATATATATATATATATATATATATATATATATATATATATATATATATATATATATTAGGGCTGTTCATGTGAACACAGGAAAAAAAATTTTTTCTCGGATTTGAATGCATAGTTGTTTATTTTGTGCCATTTGACATAGTAATTGACTGTGTAAAAATCTTTCCAATCAGATAATGTTTAGGGGGTGCTCAATGACCATAAAGTTTTACGAAAAACGTCAAAAACGTGGAAAAAGTTCCAAAGTTCCAAAAATTTCTAGAACCTGGTTAGTTAGATTTTTTCCACTGAAATATTGTCTGATTGCGTGCTATATAGATTAATTAAAAATAAAAGTGCAGCAGATTAACTGTCATCAGGGCACCAGACTAAAAAATGTCTGCTAGTGTTTAAAACAACTGTGTTTATATCATTTTGTTAAAATTTGTATTCATAATTTTAATACTATTATTTAACTCAATTTAGAATTTGTTCAAACAGAATAAAAAGGTTTACAAGTATAAATATTATTTTTATTTGGAATTTCAGTTTGACAACAAATGTATTAATATTTTGATAGTACCTAACCTTAGTAACCTATTACAGAAAACTAGCATGGTAGTCTGGTAGTGTATTGTTTGTTATTAAGTGCAGATAATAATAATTTCTAATTTGAAAATATTTATTTAATTTCTTTAGTAATAATAATTATTATATATTGCTGCAGCTGCATAAACCAACAACTGAATGATAAGTTTGTATAATATGGTATTGAGTTTTGATTTTCTCATAATTTTTCAGTTATCATTGAAATGGTAGCATCATCTCGTGTTGCTATCTCTACACGACTTCAAACCGAAATCTTTTTAATTGGACAACCAGAGCCAAATCTTCCAGATAAAGTTCTTCCCTTAACATCTGATGTTTTAAAAACATTTTTTCATCATCTTAATTCAACCAAAAAGTCAGTGCCTGAAAGTCTTTAAACAACTGTTGATGAACTGATTATTATTTGGAATAAAGCCCGTATTCCGACAGCATTTCATCCGAATGTAGTCTTAAAGTTGAAAACTTTAGTCCGGGAATTTAAATTAATAAAAAAAAATAAATCCAGATTGTCAGATTCTCAGAAATCAAGAGAGAAATCATTTACAGACACCATTGGCCTACTTTTTGACATTGCCCACAAGGATGCTGAAACCATGATCAGAATTGAAGAAGATAAAGAATTTTTATTGGATCAGAGATGTCAGAGAAAAATGGTGATGTTTGGAGAGGACAAAGAACTTTCAAAATTAGAAGCAAGAAATGAAGCAAGGAAACAAGCAGAGAGAGAACGAAAGCTAAAAGAAGAGCAAAGACAATCTGGTGCGAGTGCAATAGTTCCTGTTATTGAACCTTTACATGACGAAAGTTATAGTGATGACAACGATAACGATGCTGTTGATAATGACAAAATGGTTGATAGAGATTTTGAGATAGAAATCCCTGTTTATTACAGACAACAAGTCAGTAAAGCAAGTTCTTCAGGGTCAGCTGAATCAAGTTTAGCAAGTACTCCAAAACGACAATGTATCTTAGATACAATTCTTGACTCGCCTGATGTTTCATCAACATTAGACAGAATTAATCTATCTGACACAAAATTTACTATACTAGCAGCAGCAATTGCAAGGGCTGGTGGACAGAACCTTGATGATGGATCATTGTCACGTTCTACAGTCCGTAGAAAACGAACCTATCATCGATCAAACATTGAAGCCACTATTCGAACTGAATTCTGCGATTTGGACAAACCACCATTAATCGTCCACTGGGATGGCAAACTGATGATAGATCGCACAAATTCTGCAGACCCTAAAGCAAATGTTGACCGGCTATCTGTAGGTGTGACAGGTCACAATGTTGACAAAATACTTGGAATAGCAAAACTATCAGCTGGAACTGGAGAAGCCCAAGCAAAAGCAGTTATTCATCTGCTTAATTTCTGGGACATAATTGGTGATGTTATTGGAATGAGTTTTGATACTACAGCCTCTAACACTGGCTCCGAAAATGGTGCATGTGTAGTTCTAGAGAAACATATAGGTAGAAATTTGTTATATTTTGCTTGCAGACACCATGTTCATGAGATCATAGTAGCAGGAGTGTTTGGATTACTATTTAGACCATCATCTGGTCCCAACATACCTCTTTTCTAGAGATTTCAGCAATATTGGCCCAAAGTTAATCAAGGAAATTTTAAACCTCTGGATGACATTCGAATGAAAATACCCCTGGTGCAAGAACTACAAAATGAAGTGATGGTATTCCTCAAAGAAAACCTGCATGTTAAAATGCCAAGGGATGACTACAAAGAAATCATGGATCTCTGTCTGTTAATACTTGGAAAACTGCCTGATCAAGAAGAGAAAAATTATCATTTCAAGATCCCTGGTGCTTATCACATGGCTCGCTGGATGGCCAAGGTTATTTATTGTTTTAAGATTTATTTATTTCGTGAAGAGTTCAAGTTGACCACAAAAGAGGAAAAAAATCTCTGTAAATTTTGCTTATTTGCTAGTCTGGTTTATGTAAAATCTTGGATATCATGCCCAAATGCCAGCGATGCTCCAGTTAATGACTTGTTTCTGTTTCAGCAACTTAAGCAGTTTGCAGTTGTGAATAAAACGATTTCCGAAGCAGCAGTCAAGAAATTTCAAAACCATTTGTGGTACCTTTCACCAGAATTGGTCCCACTAGCTTTGTTTTCAAACAAACTTAAAACGGAAGAAAAGCGAAAAATGATTTCCAACATGAAATTTCACGGTGAGAACTGGTCTGAAAGGTTGATCAAATTAAAGAACATTGAAAGTCTAGAGTGCGTTGCGGTCAATGAAGGTTGATATTGATTTTCTGTTCAACAACGATCCAGCTACCTGGAATGATTCCCCAGAATACCAAGAAGGAAAAAATTTAGTATATTCATTGAAAGTAGTAAATGATGCTGCCGAACGATCTGTGGCTTTAATGTCGATGTTTAATGAATCGATTACAAGGAATGAATCTGAAATGCAGAGGTTAATTCAGGTGGTTGAGGATCACAGAAAGCGAGTGCCAGATGCCAGAAAGTGTACTCTGAAGAGTTATAGTCCTTGCTAGCATTAACATTGCACGAACTATAACACTAGGATAATTAAATGTTAATTGCTCATATGTTTTTGAGTTGACCTACTTAGTTGTTGATAACGGTTTGAGAAACTGTTACTCTTTACAATAATTTTTTTTGTTTATAATTCGTATTTTAATCAATGACAAAGAGTCAAAAATCTTAGTGTTTTATTTTGGAAAAATTCTGATATAACAAAAACTGCAGAACTTTAGTCGTATTGCAGTATTTTATTTCATTAATTTCTCTGCTAATAAACCAGTATAAAGTGGATGTGGATTGTAATTTGTATTCAGAATTTAATATTTAGAGATAATTAAAACTGATCAAATCTGAAAAATCTAATTAACCGGGTTTTAGAAATTTGTGGAACTTTGTTACTTTTTCCATGTTTTTCACATTTTTCGTAAAACTTTATGGTCATTGAGCACCCCCTAAACATTATCTGATCGGAAAGATTTTTTGCACAGTTAATTAATATGTCAAATGGCACAAAATAAACAACTATGCAATTAAATCTGAAAAAAAATTTTTTTTTGGACAGCCCTAATATATATATATATATTAAGCCACTGTCATGTATATGAAAACACTTGGCTCAGTGTGAGATTTATGTATTGTGGATATATTATTCGTTTGCCACAAAAAAAAAAAAGTCAAAAAATGTTTAATCTTTTTGGGAAATGCAATAGAAAAACTTTCAAATTCTACATGAAGTCACTTAAGGTCCGTAAATAAAACTCTTTTATGCGGTTGTTTTTTTAAAATGTATAAAATATACAGCAAACTACAAAGATTTGCGTTCGATATAAAATCTGTTTACCAAACTAAAACGTAAGCTAATTGTTTTTTTACAAATAGTTTAAAACAAATTTCAATTAGAAACTTAAATTGAAAAATAGTTTCTTCTTTTATTTTTTAGTTATATAATAAATTCATATTGTCATATTAGCATGAGCTCAAAAAAACTTGGACGACCTGTGAAAGTTTTAAACAAAACTCATAATAATAGTGGAAGATTTGCTGGAAAAGCCTCTGATTTACCCGTAAGCGATCTACCAACTTATAAACAGGTCATTCAATACGGTTACAAGGTTGAGAAAGAATTGTTTAATGGACAGAAACTTGACTCTGTATCAATCTTAACTAAAGTCAATAGTGACTTGCAACAGCTTTGGTGTAGGGTTAATCCAAATCTACCTCTGATAAAAGATAAACCATTGAAAAATAAAATATCAAGAACATTTCTAAAGGTGTTATCTGCAGAACAAACTCAATCTAAAAACCATAAGTCCAGTATAAGCTGGCTAGAAAAGAAACTGGAAACATTGTTTGATGTGTCTGCTTGCCGGTGCGATCTTCCAATTATTGATGATTGTCATGATAGATAAACATACATTTTTTAACGTTTTTTATTACAACTTTTTTTTAATGTTAAGTGAAAAAGATTTTGTAAAGGTAAATGAAAATTTACAACCCCATCCCTCTGCCTTCTACTAAGGTATTAAAGTAAGGCATACAACCGTAAACTAACGGATGTAAGTCTATCCAATAAATAGTTTCTTTATTGTTTTGATTTTAAAGTAGAATAATATACGTTTAGATAAATTGGATGTCGGAAAAGTAATTGCACAATGAAACACATAGTTTGTCTCTGTGAGGAAAGTAGAAAGGTAATTCATGCCATTTTTGTGTTGATATTATTAGGCATTTACAGTTAAAATTCATAATAATGTGAGGTTTGGGAAAATAAAATAGTCTAAAGTCATTTTAAAAATCGCTGCTCTTTTACGAAGTTATGTTAAAATTATTATTGATTACTAATCATTTGCCCGTTAATTCTTTCTATTTACTTTAAACTTAAATACTCCTCGTAGGAATCAAAGTGCTGCTCAGCCAATGCGTGTCCCATCGATGAAAACAAATGGTAGTCAGAAGGAGCCAAGTCTGGTGAATACGGCGGGTGGGGTAGCAGCTCCCAGCCAAGTGCTTTGATTGTATCCTGAACCGGTTTTGCTTTGTGTGCAGGTGCATTGTCATGGAGCAAAATTACCTTGCCGTGTCTTCTGGCCCATTCTGGTCGTTTCTCGATCAATGCATGGTTCAAATTGATCCATGGAACACCACACCTTTCTGGTCCCACCAAACACACAGCATTGTCTTCTTGCCGAATCGATCTAGTTTTGCAGTCGATGTTGATGGTTGTCCCGGATTAACCCATGATTTTTTCCGTTTAGGATTCTTAAAATAAATCCATTTTTCATCGCCAGTAACAATCCGATGCAAAACCGATTTTCTTTCGTGTCTTCGAAGCAAAATTTCACAAGTGTTTTTTTCGGTTTTCCATCTGTCTTTCATTCAATTCATGTGGCACCCATTTTCCACATTTTTGGATCTTTCCCATAGCTTCTAAACGGTCAGAAATGGTTTGTTGTGCAACATTTAACATTTCTGCCATTTGCTTTTGACTCAAAGTGTCATCTCCATCCAATATTGTTTGCAATTCGGCGTCTTCAAACTTTTTTGGTGGTCTTCCACGTTCTTCATTTCTCACATCAAAATCATTATTTCTGAACCGTTGAAACCATCTTTTGCATGTTGCTTCTGATAGAGCATGATCACCATATGCCTCGACAAGCATTCAATGCGATTCTGCAGCACTTTTCTTCAAATGAAAACAAAAAATTAATGCTTTCCGCAAATCATCACTTTCCGGTACAAAATTCGACATTTTTAACACGATGAACAAATATGATGTTGTCTGTTCAATGACTAAATATGTTTCACATATACTAAATATGTTTCACAGATGTCATAGCAAACAAACAAAAAAAAAATAAAGGCTCGTTCACAACAAATGTTCCCTATCGAGACATTTGTATCTTGACGCTCACTTCATACCGGTATACCTGGTAAGATATATATATATATATATATATATATATATATATATATATATATATATATATATATATATATATATATATATATTTATATATACACACTCTATTGACAGAAAGTCTTGAGGTGGGTAATGAATTTATGCTTTCAAAATAAAAATACATTGAAATTGTTAATTTTTGGACTTCAATGAGTGTCTTTATGTTATAGTTTATGGTTAGACTAGTGCAGCATATTTCAATAAACAATAGGCACTTGCTAGAATATATTCTTTTATAAAATAAATCTTGTTTATAAAATAAAAATTTAAACTTGATTATCAATTAGAATATTCCAGTTAGTTAAAATCTAATTCTCAGTTGAAATATATTTCCCAGTTAAATAAAATCTATTTCTTGTTTTTATATCTTTACAGATTTTAAGAACTTTTTTTGTGTACTTAATTAATTTAAAAATAAGAATTTTCATATTTAAATTTTTTTTTTCTATTTAAAAAAAAAAATAAAATAAGAAAAAAGGAATTTAAAAGAAAGGAATAAAAATTACCTGAAAAAAAAATTACCTGAAAGTGAAATTTTTTCATGCTTTTGTTTATTTATGACTTGTTTCCAATCTTCTAGAGAATCTAATATGAGATTGAAACGAAATTCAACTTCTTGGTCTAAAGTTGGATCTATAGATGTACCCTGATCATCAATAAGGTCACAACGTGTTCCCAAGTAACGAAGAGGCAGATTGATCTAAATAACAAAGCAGTTGATTAATCTATGTAGAAATTAAAAAAAAATAAAAAATTCTCATAAAAATAACAATTAAACTATTATTTTATGAAAAAAATATTTAAGATATGGAACAGGCGTAAGTAGCTTTGAGATAGATATGGAACAGGCGTAAGTAGCGGAGTAAAGCGTAAGTGGCGATGACATTTGTCTTTCAGGATAAACTAGTTTTTTGAAAAAAAACTAGTTTATTCTGTCAATAACATTTTAATTGATAATAACGATTAAATTGCAACTTGGTAATAATGTCTATTAAACATCTATTTTAAACAATCAAGTTTTTTTTAGAAACGTTTCTTGAAAACAGGTGAACATATTAAAATATTGTTAACAAAACTTTGAGAACATATCTAAATTGAAATTTCCAAAAAGTAAAGTTTTCTCTATGGTCCGAATTAAACATAATTTTGAGACCATAAAAAAATAACAAGAAAAAAGATTCATCATCAAAACATGTCGAAAGCCACTAGTTTATAAGAATCGCTCTTATATATATATATATATATATATATATATATATATATATATATATATATATATATATATATATATATATATATATATATATATATCATAAAATAAAAACTTAATCACTCATGATAACCACATATAAATAACATACAAATCCATATCTACATTTCAACCACATACTATCTATTAAAAGAAAATATTATCTAAATAAGGATGAGTTTAAACAAAGATAGTTTATCTATAAAAAAAAAAAAAAAAAAGCATGCAAACGATGTAAACAGGTTGTATGTGCATAAGGGTGTATGGGTGTAATGTGTAAGTTTGTACTGTTTATGTCATTCAGTAGAGTCTTGGATTGTAAGTAACCAGTGTAAAAGATTTATCTCTGAGTTATACCAAGCCAGCCATGTTTAATGTCAATATATTTGCATTCTAACTTTTTAGAAAATTAAAAATATCTCCAGTAGAATATTGGATTTAGATTTTTCAAGCTTTAGTGGGAAGTTCATAAACTTGAATCACATGCAATCTTTAAGGATGTTAGCTGATTCCAATTTGAAGTTGAGAACTGTGTTTAAAAATAAATTTCGAAATACAAATTTGATTATACAAATAAAGTTTTTGATAGTTTTAAGATAGCACTTTTCTTTCACATATTAACAAGCGATTCTACTTGGTTCAATAATATTTTTGATAAAATTTGAATTTTTAATAAAATAAAATTTTTAATGTTAAACTTTAGATAAGATTAAAATTTATTAGTGATACATGTTCTAATTTTTATACACAGTGAGCCAGAGAGACCGTCAGGTTTTATGTTGTGTCAATTGAATGAAACCTTTTTTTCAAGAGTATTTATGTATTTTTCGAGATGTAGTTTATTTACAGAAAAAAAGGTTTTTGAAATTCAAATAAGGTGCTAAGGGCCGAAAATGGGCCAAAACAGGGTGTTAGGATAGTTTTCACCCGCCCATTTTTATGATTATGTTATACAATTTTATACTGAAATCATATAAAGACATAACAAAAAGTTACTGGTAAATGGTCTATTTGAAATTAAAAATATATTTGTTAAAATGCAAAAAACCAAAATCTTTGTAGAAATTTCTTTTTGCAACTTTAACAATTCAATGGAAACAAAGTACCTTTTTACAACGTTCAAAAGAATTGGTTTTTATTACCATTTCTTTTGAGTGCTGTAAAAATTTTTAATTGAGGATATCTGTTTGACTAACTATTATATTAGAAAAACATAAAAGCTGGTATGAATGATATTGGTATTGAATGATAAAAATAAAGGCAGGCATCTAATTTTTAATTACACACGAACTTAAACTAATAATAACAAGATAAGCAACATTTAAATTGTAATTTTTCTGCATATAAAAATAAAACTCAGGCTGCACAACTATATAAGTTTATTTTTGTTAAAAAAACTTATATAGTTGTGCAGCCTGAGTGGGTTATAAATGGATATTGTGTTTTTATATTTGTCATATAAATTATTATTGTTAAATACATGCATGCATATATATATATATATATATATATATATATATATATATATATATATATATATATATATATATATATATATATATATATATATATATATATATATATATATATATATATATAGTTACAACCATCTGGAATATGATTATTGAAGTCTTTTTGATGAAAAGTGTTAAGTGATCTACAGCCATCAAAATTAAAACTTGAAGTAAAAAATGAGCTCATTGTTATTGCTGTTCTCTACCATCAGTAACTTGTTTTTATCTAAAATCCTTTTTACAGTACGATCAAGGAGATTTTGCATTGATACTCATGCTGAATGTTCCAAGGATGGATGTCTTTTTGCCCACAACTAATTTTGGCATCAACTAACTTGTTGTAGTTTGGCCAATTGTTGGGATTGCTTGCAGTGCATCCACCTTTCATGCACTGATCTTTTGATAGACCAATAGCAATAAAAAAGCCAAAACATCATCTATGTATTTTTGTGTGACTTAAGAATTTTTTTCTGAGGAAATTGCATCTAATGCACGTTGTGCAGTTTCTTCACTTATGTTGATAGACTTTCGAAACACTTGTGCCAGAGTTGTGCCTTGTTAAGAAGATGCCTTAGTAACTGCATCAGATTCAAATTCTTGGTGAATTTTCTCACTTTGCTGTGCTCTAGTTGTTTTTCATAAACTTTTTTCTTCCAAGCTTTTTGATCGGCAGCTTTAATGAAGAAGAGTTTCCTTCACTTTCAGTTGGTGAGTTGTGAAGATCTATAATTGAGATGAAATTATTGGAAAGAAAAAAAGCATTTTTGGCCAAATACTTTAAAAAGGTTGCAGTTTTTGTATCTTGTGTGAAAAAGAAAGGAATTATTTCTCAGATATAAATTATATTGTTATAGATATAAATTATATTAAATTGCTTAACACTTGATAACTAAAATTTTTGAATTTATCAAACTATACACTAAGAATAAATGAATGAACAAAGTTCTTCATTTATTCTTAGTGTATTTTTTGAAAAATCACTTATTTCTTTTAATTTCTGAATTTTTATTTTCCCGTTTTTTCAAGTTTTTACTGTGAAAAAAAGTTCTACATTTTTTGTACATTTGCGCACCAGTAAGCGCCAAGTTATTTTAACAACAAAAGGGGGATAAAAGGGTAACGTTTTTTATCACAAATGTAAACAGGTATCAAGTCAATACTTTGGAAGTGATTTTGACTTGGACAGAGTTGGACAGAGAGCAGAAATTGAAATTTTACAAACTAAATTAAAAAAAGTGGCGCTTTTTGAAACCACTCTAGCATTCATCACAAAAGAATTTTCTTTTTTATTTTCTATTTATTTTCTCTTGAAACCTGAATTCCTGAATAATGTATCTTGCTAAAAATTAATTCAAATGTTGTCAAATAGAAATTTTAAGTACTTAAGATTTAAAAAATGGGAAAATAATCTTGATAATTTTCATTTACACGTTTGTCTCAACCAGGGTTCTTTTGATATAAAAATATTTAATGATTCAGAGTCCACGGAGTAATAATGTTGTGCATACCTTCTCAGAGGTTTAAAAAATTTAGAATTGAAACTGAGTGTGTTACTTAGAAATAGCAATTTTGAATTAGTTCACATTTTTAGACCACTTTGATGATGAGTCAGTTTATATCAATGACAAAAACAATTCCTGAAAATTTTAGCATAAAACCTATTGTGGTTTATAAGATATGGTCATTTTGAATTTTTGAATTTTTCAAAAACAAAAACATTAGTAGCGAAAACATATTTTGTTTATACTTTGAAGCTCTATATTTTAAAAACAAAACTTCAGAAAACTTTCTAGTTTTTCTATTATATAAAACTCTAGACTTACTTTAGTAAAACTTTGACATTGAACTTTTAATGTCACATTTTATTCATACCTAAAAAAACCTAAAAAACCTTAAGAAAATATTAAAAAAATTGAATTTTAATGGATCAATGTACAAAATCAGCTATTTAAAAAGTAAAATTTTTTTAGTTTCTATAAATGGGAGGCTTTATAATTCTAGAAATTTTCTGATGAGAAACAACTTAGTAAGAAATAATGAATTCCTAAAAATGGCTTCGGCTTAAAAAGTTGTGACACTTTAAACCACACATAACCTAACACTAAATTTTGGTTTCAAAAGTCTCAAGATTCATATCTTTATTAATCTTTTTATATTAATAAAAAACAAGCTTTGAGGAAACAATATGTATCAAATAAAATGTAATTCATTCAAGATCAAATTTTTGTCACAAACACACTATGTAACAAATTTTCACTTTTGTTCTGCTCCTGGGTTGAAAGTGTTTTTTTCTAACCCGTTAGGTCTAGAACAAAAAGGAAATTGCTGTTATTCTAGAATAACTTTACTTCTGTGACTGGGACAATGAAATTTGGAAAATCATGTGTTTTCGAGAAAATTTTTAATTTGCTTTCAATGCTGAGGTTCGTCCTATAATAATCCTGAACTGCTAGAGTTGTCCATATTCTCCTAAACACTCTAGAACATTCAAGAAACTTTCAGAACTTTTGAGAAACTCTTAGAACTTTCTAGAACGTTCTTAAACATTCTAAAAGTAGCTGCACAAGTATAAAAGCATAGTTGTATCAAACCAATTCATGTTATTGCATACTAAAAGGATAATGATTCGCAGTTGAAGTTATTTATTTGATATGGCATCAAGAGGTTGTTTGCATCCAGCTAATTTATTATGCTACACGTACAGACAATTTATAAAGACAAGAGCAAAAAAGTATTCCGTGAAAGCAAGTCGTATAATGTGCGAGGTTTACAAGGCATACTTTAACATGTTGGTCGAAGACCAACATGAATATAAGGCACCGCATTTCACATGAACAGTTGCTTCTCGCTTAGATGTTTTTTAATTTATTTTCATTAATTTCAATGCTTTATATCTAGTTCATTTCAAGGAGTTGTAATTTACAAAGTTTTGTCATAAGTCGTGTACTGTAGACAAATATGTTCCATCTTGAAATTATTCAATATTTTGAAATTTCCTGTCTTCAAGAGCTGAAGACAATTCAATTCAATGCTACTTCCGCATGGTAAACCCAAAAAATCACCACACTGGTAAAAATACCCCTTTGATTATTTATCCGGACATACCTTCTTCCAGTGTCCAATACCATACAGCCCTGATCTGCCTATTCCGAATCGTCCTAGATGGCATCGGCCATCTTCAGGAGACAGCAGCAAGTCAGATAGCAAGGCAGATACTGGAGATATGGACTACGATTCCGCAGATGAAGTTGGGGATGGAAAGCTGTACTTCCTAACCAGAAAGACATGAATGATTAAATTAAGGACCTTGGACTTACGAAATCGAAGGAGCTTCTGATATCCAGGCTCAAACAGTGGAATTTGGTTGATGATAGTGTACAAGTCACAGACCAGAGGAAACAGTATCAAGATTCTCTAACTTCTTCAGTCAGCATGATGGGCTGTGCTTCTGCAACGATGTTGCTGGTCTATTCCAGGCTATAGATATCACATGTAATTATATTGAATGGCGCCTATTCATAGACAGTTCATCCCAAAGCCTCAAAGCTGTGTTGCTTCACAATGGAATTAACTACCTGTCTCTTCCATTGCCCACTCTGTACATCTCAAAAAGGACTACACCAGTGTTAAATTGTTGCTGAGTGCATTAAAGTACGAGGATTATAGATCGGAGGTAATGTGACTTCAAAATGGTATCATTCCTCATAGGTCCTCAAGGAGGTTTCATGTAATTTCCTTGTTTCTTATGTCTCTGGGACAGTTGTGACACTAAGGCGTATTATGGCACAAAAGACTAGTCACAATAAACAGAGTTTTCTGTTGGGAACAGCAATGTGAAGTGGGAGTCGCTGATAGAACCTCATAAAGTGCTAATGTTACCGCTGCACATCAAGTTAAGTCTAATTAAGCAATTTGTCACTGCTTTGGACAAAGAGTCAGCAGCATTTCAATACCTCCAAGATCTTTTTCTAAAGCTGTATGAGGCTAAGACCAGGACTAGTATATTTGCCAGGCAACAGATATAGAAGATCATAGAATGTGAAGATTTCGCAAAATTGTTGAACAGGACAGAGAGAGTGGCTTGGAGCAGTTTCGTTGCAGTTGTTTAGGGCCTATGTGGAGTTGGTGCAGACTCAAAAAGAATTACTCAAAATGGGATGCAGAATGTCTCTGAAAGTCCATATCCTTGATTCGCACCTCGACAAATTGAAGGAAAACATGGGTGCTTACTCTAAAGAGCAAGGAAAGCGCTTACATCAAGATACAATGGACTTTGAACATCTTTATCAAGGACAGTATAACGAAAACATAATGGGGGACTAATTTAAAGGCTACCTCGAGAGAGTGATTCACAGTACAATCAAATATCTAGAAAATCTAAACATTTTTAAACCCTTACTATGTGGTTTCTGACTGTGTTGTTTGTTAAATTTTTATTTATTTAATTATTTTTTTTATCGGACTGAAATTGTTCAATGAGACTTTGTGCGAGTTAGGAGAATTTTAAAGAGTTATTAGCGCAAAAATATCAAATAAAATTTCAACTTATTTTACAAAAAGCGAAGACAAACATACACTGCAATTTTTTTTTAGCTAAAATGACGACCACCGATGGCTGTTCAGGGTTTTTATAACACCCAATGAGCTAAATCGCTGATTGCTCAAGGTTTTGACAAGCCAAAAGCATCCAAATCCATTCACCAAATAGTTATGAAATATGCTACTAAAATTCGAAACTCGATAACGATTCGAAACTCGATAACAAATCATATAACAATTTATAAGAATATACCAATTTATAAGAATATAACAATCTATAAAAATATAAGAATTTATAAGAATATAACAATTAACAAGAATATAACAAATTATGAGAATAAAATTCGAAACTCAATAACAGAAACAAAGAATTATCTAAACTTCAACCTACTGCCATTTGACGACCTACTGAAATAACACAACTTAAAAATTGATCGCGATATCGTATGTATTACCACGGATGGTGCATTGGTTATGAAGAAAGTTGGACAATTAATGTCCTTCAACAAACAACTTTGTCTAAGCCATGGAATCCAATTGGCTAGACGTCTTGTGTAAAACAACAGTCATGGACTTGAGAGATGATTATTTTGAATCTGATGGAGATAGTGCTGGTGAGATTTCAGATGAAAATAATGAAGACCATTTTATGGATTAAGGATTTTTCAGATTTCACTAAATTCAAATGAATTAGCAAACACATTGGCTCCCTTGATAAGCAATGTTAAAAAATTGTAAAGCTGTTCTGACAACTACAGACAAAAAATGAAATCCTTCAAGTTAATGTAAAAACTGAACATGGTAAAGAAATGTCAGTAATATCTAGATGAAACAGCTTACTTTTTATACAAGAGCATTTTTATAAATTAAAAAATTCCATTCAAAAAAGACCTGATTGACTTAAATTCAGCTGTTAACTTTACGGAACCTGAAATAGAATAGATATTATCAACAGTTTTTATGTTGCTACCAGTGAAATTAACTGTAGAGGCTTTATGTTGGAGAAATGCCAATCTTCTACCAGCTGATACTACCTTGGCATTTATGCTGCAAAATTTGGGCAAAGGATCATTAAGTAACAATATAAAGACCTCCTTAATTGAAAGAATAAAAGAAAAACAAATCGAAATATTAACTATTTGACTAATATGATACAATTTGACTAATATGTACACGTGGTACCAACTAGAAGTTGGTATACAATTATATTTTAACTATTCCCCCAACGAGCATAGTAACTGAACGGACTATCTCCTCATCGGGAATGTTATGTACTAAAATTTAAATACGAAATTTTAAATACTTTATGTTTTTTGCAAGCCTTTCTTTTTTTTTTATTAGTTATTTCAATAATAAATAATTTTTTTAGGTTTTTTTTTTTAATGAATTTATTTTATATATTAGTTTAACTTAAACAAAAAAGTTTTGGAACTTTGGCTTTTAATTAATGTTTTTTTGAATATTTGTAAATACCGGTATTAATACCGGTATATCAGTTTTCACTAAATCTAATACCGAAAAACCAGTATTTAATTTTTGGTCCGGTATTGGAAGCCCTAAATTATATATTGTATAAATTATATAAAGTATATTTGTAAATATACAATAATAATATGAAAATATATAACAATTTTTTTATTCAAAAAGTATGTGCTTTTTATGATGTAAGTGTAAACCTTTTAAAACAATTTGTATGACTGATTTTATAAACAACAAGACTTAAAAGAACAATTGCATTTGCAATTTTTTAACAATCATTTAATCATGTTAACAAACCTAATAATCAAATAAGATTCAAACAGAACACAAAAAAGCATATACACAAAGTGACTCACAAATGAACCAATATCGCACCAAAGGTTAGCTTGGATAGAATTAAAAACAAAACTCACTCACTTAACATTATCAGAGTATTAAAAAGCAGTTCCGCTTCTCTTATTTTTATTGTTTTTAACCATAAAGTTTGCATACAATTGTTTTGATGCTTTTTGTTTGCAAAATAAATAATAAAACTATGATTCACTTAGAATGTAGTATGTTGCTTATATTTTATTATATATAAGGTAGTACATTTTCAAAAAGAGCTAAGTTTCAAAAAAAAAATTTTAAACAACAACAGTTTCATGGGCAAGACCAAAGCTAAGGCCTCAATTTTTGGCCTTAAGGCAAGGCCAAAGCAAAAGTGAAACCAAAGCCAAGGACTAACAACTCTGTTTTAAAGACATTGCTAAAAGATATTTTAATATTTCCATTGCAACTGAATGGTTTTTCTTTTGTTTATTTTAATACATTGGGAAATCTCTAAACAGCAAATTTTTAGCAGTCTTTTGAAGTACAGACTTTAAAGGCATTATAAAAACTTCATATTTTTTAATGTTCATAGCTTACAGATGATAACTTGTAGCTTGTACAGATGCACTGCCTTATCACTTCAAAACGTCCCTAAAATATTTGTTAATGCAGATATTCTTCATTAAAATGCAAAGAGTTGATTCTCGTTGCTTAAGTCTTATTTTGGTTGTTTTCTTGTTGCTTTAGTATTATTTAGTCTTATTTATATTTCAAACAACTTTTTAGTCTTTTTAGGTAGCCATTATAGGTAAAAAGTTTTGAAGTAAGTCTAGAATACAATAAAAATATAAAAAAAGGTTTTTTTGAAACATGTTTTTAAAATATAAAGCTTCTAAGTATGATCAAAACATGTGTTTGCTAACAATCGATTGTTGCTTTATGTTTGACTGAATATGAACACTACAGTTTTATTAGGAAAAATTTATTTTATATCATATATATATAAGCTTCTGTATTAACTTATGCCACAAAAGTAGAAACAGTTTCCAAGCTTTTTGCTCTAATTAAGATTATGATTATTACTTATTATTCAAGTTTAATAAGTGTATGTAAACATACACTTATTAAACTTTAAGTGTATGTAAACATACACTTATTAAACTTTAAGTGTATGTAAACATACACTTATTAAACTTGAATATCTTAATTAGAGAACAAAAAAATGTAGTGAGGATGTAAAAATATAGAGAAAAATTAAAAAAAAAACTGGGAAGATATTTTTGACTAGAAGTCAATATATTAACATGTCTTTAATATAGTAATATATAGTAATTTAGAAATAATAAATAATATATAAATTAGGAAAACCAAACATATGAACCTAGAAGAAAACAAATAAAAATTCAACTCTAAACAACCTGTTCACACATAATGAAAAGTGGATTGTTGATACATCCTGTAATTATTTGTGCACCCAATCCAATGCAGTTACCAAGTGAAAAGTCATCTTTTACTCGACCGCCGCATCTTTCAGATGCTTCAACAATGGTAACCTAGAAAAATGAATTAAAATGAATGTAAAAAAATAATTTCAAAATAAAAACAAAAACAAACTCATATTATGACTTGTTTACATTTTAACTCTTTACATTTTTATTTGATTCAGTTATATTTAAAAAAAAAAATGAACTGAATCATGTTTTTTAAGCATATGAAGCCATACTATATTAAACTGGGTTGTTCTTGAAATATCCTTTGATATTTCAAGAACAACCCCTTACCTTGCAAAGTTTGATAAAATGGAGCAATAGGAATAATTTTTAAACAAAAAATAAGAAACATAAAAAAAAAAGACAAATACACAAAATACATACTGAAGGATTAAACAAGTTTTTACATAAAAAAAAAAAAAAAAAAATTAAAAAATTTAAGCAAATATCAAATCATAGAAAGATCAAAATACTAAAAATTATTAAATAAACTAAATGAGCCATTTAAAATGTTTGTAGGCATTTTGAAATTTTGCATTCATAAAACTGTGATAACTGTCATTTGATAAAAAAAAACCTGCATGAAAAAAAAAGATAAACTAAATAACAAAAAAGATAACCTACATGAAAAAAAAACCTACATGACAAATTAAGTTGTCAATGTGAAATTTCAAAATTTTAAATATTTAAACTCAAAATAGAATTATAAAAAATTTGAGTTTTGTATCTAAAATCAAAGATTCATGAACATTACTAAATTCTAAGAATTAAAATTAAAAACTTAAAAGAAAACAATTTAAAATATATATAATAAAAACATACCTTACAACCTGCATTGTGTAGTTGTCTAGCAGCTCCAGCACCTGAAATACCTCCACCAATAATTAAAACAGAACCCTGAAAAAGTTTAACTAAAAGCTTAAAGTTTTTAAAAACTATTTTCATTCAGCAATGTTTCCTGATTCCCAACAAAGTAGATATAATAAAAGTAAAAAGATGTTGCAATAAGCCTGCAATGACTAAGCAGCAAAATTTAAAACTTGTATGCTGTTCTTGACATTCTATAACACACAATCAAACATTTGACGCTTAAAACAACTCATGTTCTTTTGTGAGACCTCATTTAGAGTATTGCTCAGTACCATAGAACCTTCATATTTTTCTTCATCGAAAAAAATAAATGGTCTTAAAGTTATACTGAATTGAGCCACAAAACTTGTCCTTACTTTTTGAACCATTAAAGACGCTACTCTGCTATTGGTATCCAATTACTTTAAAATTTCATTGCATGAGATTTTAAAACATTTTAAAAGTTTTAAATTAACATCTCATTGCATGAGATTTTAAAACATTTTAAAAGTTTTAAATTAACATCTCATTGCATGAGATTTTAAAACATTTTAAAAGTTTTAAATTAACATCTCATTGCATGAGATTTTAAAACATTTTAAAAGTTTTAAATTAACATCTCATTGCATGAGATTTTAAAACATTTTAAGTTTTAAATTAACATCTCATTGCATGAGATTTTAAAACATTTTAAGTTTTAAATTTTCTTTTTGTTTTAATAAAAATGAAGATCTGAATGCTTAAAAATATTTCTATGCAAGTAAAAATTTTTTTTTTTCTATACAAGTAAAACAAAAATGTAAATTTATTCATATTGAAAACTCCTCTCATACTAACCTAGTGCCAAAAAATTGTTTTAAAATTTATAAACTGTTAAAAATTAATTAACTTAAAAGTTAACCATGAAAATCATTGCAAGCAATCTTGCAATGATTTTCATTCAAAATAAAACTGCTACTAATTTAAATGATATGTGAACTAAATTTTTTTGCATGAATGCTCAAAAAGGATTTTTAAGATAAACTGTTTTTATTTTAACAAATTTGTATTTAATTATATAAAGTTTTTTAATTGTATAAAGGAATTAACAAAAATAACTTTTACACTTTAAAATGGCTAGCGCCAAGCCTGTGTTGCAAGCAAGATCCCACACACAACAAATTTTTTTAGAACAGACTAGCTTATTATAATTAAATAAAAGAAAATCATATAAACAGCTAACCTTCCAGTAATTCAAGTTAAAAGGTTTTGGAACTATTGGAAGTATTCCAAAGTTAATATAACCATTTATTGTTAAAAAATCTAACACTTTTTTAAGTTCCTCTGATAAGGTGATTCTTCCTAAGCCTCTGCATATGACACTATTCATACACAATTTATGTGTCAGGTATTGCTAAAAAAAAATTAAAATCTTATATCATATAAAACACTATTCATACACAATTTATGTGTCAGGTAATGTTAAAAAAAAAATTAAAATCATATATCATATATGTCACTATTCATACATAATTTATGCGTCAGGAATTGCTTAAAAAAAATTAAATTAAAAAAATCATATATTTTTTGTAACCAAACTTATCTCATAATTACATTCGATTATCTTTTGTTTTAAATCATTGTCTCCCGAAATCTGCTTTATCTCCTGTTTTCTGTTTTAAGTCTACCTTTTAATTTAACAAAATTTTTAAACACATTGGAATTTTAAGTAAAGTTTTCAAATCTACCTTAGGATTTAAACTCCACATGGCCATTACCAAATTACGTAAAGCAAGAAACATAGATGGATCTCTAAAAAAAAAAAAAGAAACAACTAGCAAGAAATAATTATGTTATAGAAAGTTGCTACTAGTTACTGTTAGTTTTACAAGATTACTGAAAATTTTAAAAACAGTTTGATTTAAAAGATATAACAAAATATTACTAGAATAAATACCACTAGAGCCAAGCCATTCAGTATGACCAATTACAAAAAAAAAATATTGGCAGAAGAATAAAGAGAAAGGGCTTCGTAAATTTGTAGTCTCACTTAACCCTTTTTTTCTTTCTTGCATAGCTGCTATTTTTAATTTTAACTCTATATTTCATTATTTTCACTAGAAAAACTCTCCTGATGAAAAAATATTTTACTATTCTACTAATCATTCTACTATTTTCTAACATTCTTCTTGATTATTTAAGTATTTATCTCAGTAGTTAGTTTATAGTGACTTTTGGAAAAATTTTGTATCATTAACAAAGGCCCAACATTCTGCCTCTCAAACATGGGTCTGACATTGTCAACTCTGCCAAGAATAAAATAGAAATATTTTCGAAAAAAAAATTTTCTAAATCATCTCCTAAATCTTATGACAACACTCTTCCTGGCATCCTTTGTTAGATATCAAATCAAATTTGTCATTTGTAAATAAAGTTATTTCTTGCCTAAATTTTTCTACAACTTGTGGTATTGACAATATTCTAGCTTCAGCCTTACAAAGTGTTTTATCTAAATAAACATATAAATCAATAAATATATAAAATATATAAATTTATAAATCTTTTTAAAACTCTCTAAACTAATTAAAAAGTGCATAATTGAATCTACATGAAAATGGTGGTTTTTCATACCCGGAAAATAGTGTACTGTGGTTCCAACTTTTAAAAAGTCTAACCACTTTAACAGATCACTCTAACCCCTAACACCCTATAACCCTTAGTGTTCCCATATAGTCTTCAAACTATTAACAAGATCTTTCATTCTTTAACTAACCAACTTCTAATATCTCATACTGAGTCCAAAAAATGTTTTTCCTGACAATTTATACAGATTTCAATGTCTTATTTTTTAATGATAACTTGTTACCAGCAACTTGTTAATAACAGAAAAGTCATGCATTAGATGAAAGTGGAAAAGTAACATTCTTCTTCAATTCCATTAAGTTCCGGGGTACCACAAGTTTGCATTCTGGGTACAATGTTGTTTCACATCTACATTAATGATCTTCTTTAAATTTATATCTCTAAATTGGTTGTTCTTTTTTCTGATGACATAACTATATACTCTAGTCATGATACAAAAGTTGGTTCTTCTAATGACAACTTTGTCTAGTTTCTAAGCATAAGCCTCTATCCAAACTTGTAAGCTTGCATTAATTTTGCTTCTCTACAAATACTACCAAGGTTGCTGCTCAAACAAGCTATCATCCCTTGTTCCACAATCCAAAACACAATCCCTAATTTCTCATGATTCCACAGAGTCACATTTTTTTATTGTAACTGCTCTTCTTTATTAAAAAAAATGCTATTGAAATACTTTTCGCTTTTTATTTAAATTGAAAAAAAATTTAGTAGAAAAAAATTACTTTAAATGATTAAAAAACTCTTGGCGTTCTTCAGCTGTCATAACATCAGCGCATATACATCTGGCTTTTTCAGAATCTTCTGGGCTATAGAAAGGAACCATGTTTTCTGCAAATTTTATTGAAGATTCTAAAAAAAATCTCTTTATTTAGTTCTTTATATAATTCTTAAGTTGAAATTCATATCAAACATGACAAATTAGTAACTAATAAATAAAATAATAACCTTCTGTAACTGTTGGTGGACTCTGTCCTATTCCATCGTAATAAAAATCTTTTAAAAAAGGTGTTGCTGGGCTATCTTTCAAATAAGGTAGCGCTATTGTGCTTCTAATCCAATCAGGATTTTTAGCTGAACTCACATACTATAAATAAAAAATTATTTCAATAAAATATTATTAATAAAAAATTACAAAAAAATTCTCCATTGTGATTTTTTGGACTTAATTGAAATTGTTTTAATTAGACTATCTTTAATTGCAACTATGAAAAATAGATTTTTAAATTAAGTATTTACCATATGTATGCTAAATTAGCTTACAAAAATGTATGCAAGCATGCAAAAATAGGTTTTCTTTTCATAAACACACTTACTATTCATTACAGCAAGTAAACATTATTTTTCTAATTTTAAAAAAACTTTTCTATTTTAAAATTCATTAATTACTGTATATAATGCTGCAAAATGCAATTTATTGCAGTTAAGTGCAATTTACTACTGTTTAAAGTAAATTGCATTTAGTTTATAATCACTATTACTACACACCAGTCACCTTTTGTATTTATATTAGATATCGTTTTGACAAACTTGTGTACTTATATTAGATATTGTTTTGACAAACTTGTACTTTCTTTAGTTTACATGTGCACTTGTTTGTGCTTATATCAGTTTCGCACAGAATACAATTTTTTCTTGTGCTAACTTGAGCTTACCATTATTACAAACCATAAATTGATCCATGCTAATGTTGGTTAATACTATTGTTGCTTTAATTTTTAGTTCATGCTTTTGTTAGTTGGAATATAGGTTATGTTTAGAATTTAATTTTTTATTATTTTGAGTAAACTAAATTTTAGCATTAAAGACTGGAGTCCATCATTCCTTAGAGTTCTAACAAAATTATTGTATTTGGTAAAAATTAGTTATAGAATGTAGTTATATTTTAAACTATGATATTACCAGTAACAAAACCAGTTTGGTGTAAATTTAATCAGTACTTTCTTTTGCACTTCTCCATACTTGTTAACTGCAACTATCTGATTGGTCCATACTTGTTAACAGCAACGATTGGTTCATTCTTATTTAACAATTTTTATATTTAGCAATTATTTTGAAGCAACTTAGTTTAAAATTTAAAAAACTGATTTAAAATAAATAATCTCTAACTGAAGCCAGAGCTTTTGTTTGCTGGTTTTAATTTTTTCAAGTAATAATATAGTTTAAGTATAAATACAAATACAACCTTTAATCAAACTTATGGGTTCGGGTTTCTAAGATTTTCTTTTAAGCAAGTTTATCAAGTGATAAGAAATAAAAATTGAGTAACGAATTCTGAAATTTAATATTAATGATAAAACTGTTGTAACATTTAGAGTAATTAAGATAATAATTATATATATATATTTTTAAATTCACCTCCTCAAGGCCAAGAAGGCCACTACAGACGAGGAGGCTACTTATTCGTGGTTATAACCCTCTCTCAACTCTATAACTTCGAAACACGAACCTTGACGAACAAGGCTGCTGTGCGGAGAAACGAGTTGAGCGCGGTACTATCAGGGACGTGGTGGGGATCGAACTCGGAACCACTCGTTCATGAAGCAAGCGCTCTACCACTACACCACTACCGCATATTATTATAAGGTATAAATTATTAAGGTATACAGAGGTCAATTTTTCATAGTTATATGTCCTGGATGTGTGAAATAAAGGTGACGTGACATTATATTATTATAAAGTATAAACTGTTAAGGTATATAGAGGTCTATTTTCCATAGTTATATTTCATGGATGTGTTAAAATGAAGGTGACATGACATTATAATACATAACATGAAGGTGACAAGAAATTATAATACTTAACATGAAAGTGACGTGACATTATAATACTTAACATGAAAGTGACGTGACATTATAATACTTAACATGAAAGTGACGTGACATTATAATACTTAACATGAAAGTGACATGACATAATACATAACATGAAGGTGACATGAAATTATAATACATAACATGAAAGTAACGAGACATTATAATACATAATAAAATAGTAAGAAGATAATCACCTCAGATTCTTCAGTAACACATGTAACATTATCAATCTAAAATATGTAAATGTAATTTTTAAATCATATTTTTAAATAGTTGTATATAATGAAATTATTTCTTATTAATGTTTTGATAATTATATTAATAATTTTTTTTTTTATATAAACAACTTTTTATTTATAAACATAACTATTTTTCATAAAGTTCAAATAAAAAACCAGAACATTTAATATTGAAAAATCTAAAAATCTTGAAACCAGTGATATTGCTTGTTTAATGTATTTTAAAACTGTTTTCAGTTTCAAAAAACACATACTTTTTTACAATAAACTAGTTTTTTATATCAAACCTGCTTAATAAACAATAACTGTAACTATATAATTAATGTTTTTAAAAACAAATTTAAAAACATTTTGAAACAACAATTCCTACATAAACTTCAACTAGGTACAGGTTACCTGATTTTCAATCAATCGACAACTGTAAGACCTGTTTTTTAGAAAAATAAGCTTCAGTACTTCCAAAAACGTTTAACACAGATATAATGCACCAACAACAATTACCTTGTTGCATGAAAAATTACAAATGTTCTTTTTCATTTTAGTTGTGTCATTTCCAATATTTCTCCATTTATCACACGAAGCACACTGTAACCAAAAAGGGAGCATTTCTTCTGACATAAATAACTTTAAATTTGCTTCTTTTCTACAGCTTGAGCTCCAGTGCACTTTCCATGGCTCATAGACTTTGAAACCATCTTTATGTCTAAATATCACAACATGAATATTCATTATTTAAAAGTTAAAACTTTATATTACAGAAATAATGGATTTTTTAAACCTAATTATTAGTTTTAAAATTTTTTGTAATGTTTTTAATTAGAATAAAAACTAAATAGTAAAACATATCACAAAAATTAGATTTGTTACAAATAAAAACAAACAAATATAAACAAAAAAGAACTGGTTAGCATAAGCTTTTTTTAAATATATTTTAAACCAACACACTTCCAACAAGGCTGCAACCACTATTAAGTTGGGAGTAGCAAGGTTGCAAGCAACCGCTGTTAAGGGAGTAATTAGAAAACAAAGAATAGTGTTATAGAACATCGAAACGGTTGATAAAAAACTTGAAAATATATTTGTAGAAATAAGACAAAAATATGATCTTACAAAGATAGGAGAATAGCTCAAACATGACAGATAGAGCAAGTTTAACTACATTTACAATGCAATAAACCTTGAAATGAAAGAGCATCATTAAAAGAACCAGCTTGGATATGACAAAAACATTCATACAGGGACGAATGAGAGATTTGTAGAGGTAGAGAATGGAATCAGTAGTAAGATAATGGCGAGCTCAATAAACAGAAGTTAACTTAATACTAAATCAATCTAATATAAAGTTTCTATGAGAATGAAAGACGTAGACTACTCAGTAAGGGGATTGCAATTCATCATATAAGATGCAAAATATTAAAATAATTGTTTGCAGTAAATAAGTTTTGTTGGAGTTAAAATTAGAGAGATTAGATTTCAGATTGGTTAATTCTATTTCTGATTGTTGATTTTTTCTGATTGGTTGATTGATTTAAGCCTGTTCTAAGGGATCAAAAAGTGAAGATTTTTTGTCAAGACTGGAGTATAAAGTTGATCATCAATTGAGTCATAGAAAAAAAAGAAAAGAGAAAAGTTCATTGGGTAATTGTGTAGTGGTAGAGCACTCAACTCATAAGCAAGAAGTTCTGAGTTCGATCTCCACCACATCCCTGGTAGTACTGTGCTCAACTTGTTTCTCAAACAAGAGGGTTTTTCTAGTGTCCTTCTTGGTCTTAGGGAGGTGAATAAACATTAATATATATATATATATATATATATATATATATATATATATATATATATATATATATATATATATATATATATATATATATATATATATATATATATAGCAACTTTTGATTAAAGTCAGAAAGATCATTAATGGAGATACAAAACAATACAAGACCATGGACAAGGATCTTTAACAGTGTCTACAATAAAAGCAAATCTATTATTCCACCTTTCTTGGATGGTTCAAGTTTTGTTACCTCACCTAAAAACAAAGCATAACTTTTTATTTAGAACTTTTCGTCAACCTTATCTCTTAATTCCACTAATTACATCTGATATAGCTGACAAACAGGTTCATTTATTGCTTGACATTTGTATAACTCCAGCTTCTGTAGCTAAAGTGATTTCCTGCTTAGACTAAAGCTTGTAATACTCACGTGTAAGTGTTTTCCAGAGTTATCGTCTTTGTACTTTCAAAACTATTTAACAAGTGATTATCAGAGTCCAGTTTTCCAGCCTGTTTGAAAGTGTTATCTTTATTTTTTAAAATTCTGGAGGACAACCTGACTCATCTAACTACCAACCCATTAGTCTACTTACTATCATAACCAAGGTTTTTGAGTCTTTAATTAACAAACACTTAATCTCTCAACTAGAATCTAATGAATTACTTTCTGATTATCATATTGGATTTCAATCTTCTCATTCTACTACTGATTTGTTAACAGTAATAACCAATAGGTTTTATTGTGCATTAGATAGATTTGCAGGGTGTTAACCAGCGCAATGGCACCACATATACTGTAGAATTCCTAATGGGTTACTCATTTCTTACAATATATCTTTTAGATTATTGAATCCTTTCTTATCAATCATAGTATAAAAGTTGTTCTCAATGGACAGCACTCTTCTTCATTTCCTGTAATTTCAGGGGTTCCTCAAGGTTCTATTCTTTTTGACATGGCATAATTGAAGCTAAATAATTATGTACATATGTGTGTGTGCCTTACTACTAGGGATCGCTAGTTTAGGGTATACTAAAAATTTATTATACACTTTACCGTAAAGTATACCTTAAACAAAACTTTTTTTTTGGCGAAACCATATTATCATTTATAAAAAATTTTTTACGGTATACTTCTAAAAAATGTGTTTGTTTTTTTATTAAATGTTTTGTTTTATTATAATACTTACTATATGTTTCATTATAAACAATATTTTATATTAGATATGAGGTAAAGATCAGCACTAACAGCGTGGTATAAAAATTTATTGGTATAACACAATAACAAATTAATAAACTAAAATAAATAAAAATATTAAAAAAATAAATTAAATAAGTAAAATTAAAAACGAATTTTTAAAACTTAATGTTTTTATTTGTTATTAAAGCACAAATTTTGCTATAAATTTGTCTGATATTACTGTTTTATTTTATTAAGATTCTGCTGTATGCATGTGTAAAAAAAATCTTAAGGAAAATATGGATCTCAAACCTCAGGCTTTGCGCTTACGAAGTCAACGCCTTATCCAAATATGCTAAAAACAATCAATATATTTATTTTAAAAATTATTATTCTTTTCTTCATATAAAAACTAACTTAATTAAAACTAAGTAAATTAATTATTACAAAATTAATTACTGAATATTGTATTAACATCAAAAAAGAGTATGTATGCAAATTTTAAAGAAAATCTATTATCAGGAAGTGACTCAAAAACTGATTGCAAGATTTGATGCTCACAGACAAACAGAGACGACGAGTTAATAAAAGCATTGGTAAAAACACTTTAGTTATGATAATAAAATAAATATAGTTTACAGGCCTTCTCATAAGAGGCGTGCGATCGTACGCTTAATACGACCACGCATAAAGTTTGTGGTCATATAAAGCGTACACAATGGATTCAAAGGGCGAATCCATTGTGAGGGAAAGAGTCCCCCCTCCCCTCAGTTTTTTATTTATTTTTTTAGAAATTGATGTTTAAAAATGTAAGTAACTTAGACTGTTTAAAAGTGCCATGAAATTTAATAAAATTTTGTGGTGCAAGTTTAAAATTTTATTAAAAAATTAATAGGATACAGGGTGCGACAAATCGACAAAAGTGCATGCATTTTTTAAAAGACAGACAGAAAAACAAACATCACGTTTCTTTAATTTTGCTTATGCAAACGTTGCTGTTTGATTAGGATTTTTAAAACGAACGTATCACTTCAGCAATTTTTTTCAAAATAATTTTGTGATCATTAGTTTTTTATTTATTATAAAAAACACATATTTAATATGAAAAACAATTAATTTCACAAACTTAAATTAATGCCAAAACTTTTTTCAATAGCGTCACTTTTAAGTAAAATAACTAAATACGCTATAAAAAAAAGTAATTATGTTTTAGCATGGTTTTTGCATGCGCTTACAAATACATACATAATTTTACTTAAAATGAATGGTTTTGCAAAAACTTTAAAAGAAACCATGCTCAAACATTTCGACCGCTTTCTTTTATTGAGAAAAGTGATCATAACGTTTAATGATGGTTTCTTTTATGTTTTTAGCAATTACATTAAAAGTTTAAAGCAAATGTATTCATTATAAAATTTAGCATGCTTTTTTTTAAATTTTCTTATTTTTCATGTGAAATAGTGAATTTTTTCACGTGAAATAGTTTCATGTGAAATAGTTTCAAGTGAAATAGTTTCAAGTGAAATAATGTTTGATTGCATATTAAAACTTTTGCACTTTTAAAAGTTTTTTTATTGTGCATTTATCATTAATTTGCGCGCACTTTGCAAATGTGTAAAAAAAAGTTTTTTAAAAATAAAAAATTAAATAAATTTACCAAGCATCTTTGATATATTTAATAACTTATTAACTAGAATAAAAATTATTTGAATTTTATTTGACATAAATCTCTTAAATTAAACATTCATCAATAAATAAAGATACGCAAGTCAATGTTCATTAAAAAAAAAAAGATATGTCACACCCTGGGATAAAAAATAGTTGGCAGATGCGATTGTTTCAAGATTACTGTAATTCCTTCTTTTTAGTAAATAATTTCATAATTAGAAATTAAACTTCCATGATAAAATGGTTTGTAATTAGCTTCTGTACTCATTTTACCTTAAACTCTAATCTGAGTATTTTTTTCAATGATAGCCTTAAGCCTTAAGCCTTGATAGCTTATTAAATTGCATTAAAGTACTCAGGAAATTTTGTGGGAATTTAATTGTAATTATAGAATCAATTAAATTAAAAATTGCATTTTTTTTTTTTTTTAGCGCATTTTTTAAACACGCTAATTATCAAAACTTGCAAAGAGCTGTGGTCGGGTTGTTGAGACAAAGAACTATATGCGTGGTCATATATGGCGTGCGAGCGCACGCCTCTTACGAGAAGACCTGGTATAGCTATTTAATAAGGAAAAAGAAATATTAAATTATGAAGTCAGTCCAGAAATATTTCATAAATAAAAGTATATAGGTATACTAAATGGTATACTAAAATTTAGTATACGGTAAAATTTACCTAAAGTTATTATACCCTATACTGTAACCGGCGATCCCTAGAAAATACATAGAGATATAAAAAAGCAAAAATTTGCAGACTAACAACAAACAACTAACAACAAACAAAATTGAGATGTGAATAGAGCAAATGTGGAAACAATTTATAAACAAAAATAAAGTAACAATAAAATAGCCTTAAATAAAAAAAGTAGAGCACCAATAAATCATCAAATTAAAATTTGTTTAAACTCTATTAAAACTTGAATTAACTTTGTTTAGACAATCTTAAGAAACAAATTTAGAAACATAAATATAGTTAAATAAAAAACATACGTTCTATAGAAATGATCAAAACAGTTATTACAAAAATGTTCATAGTCTGACATATGATACCATCTAGCTGTGTATCCATCTCCAGAACATCTACAATTAAAATGCTTTTAATCAATAAACAAATAAAAAGTCTAACTACTCTAGCACATAAAAACTATTCACATAAAACTTATAATAGTTATTAGTAATTTATAATAATTATTAGTAATTTAAGTTTTATTTATCTGTTGCAAATACTATAATGTACAATATCAGAATATATAATTTCAATATATTAAGTCTAACTATTCTAACACATAAAATTTATAATAGCTATTAGTAATTTATAATAGTTATTAGTAATTTAAGTTGCAAATACATGAGACGCACTTTTCATTAAAAAATTTCACACACTTTTCATTCAAAAAAAGCGTGAGACAAACTAATTCTACTTTTTATTTCAATTTTAATAATTACTTTTTTTTTTTTTTTTTTTCATACTATATTAATAAATTATGTGCACCTTAAAATAAGCACTGTAATTTTTTACCAGATTATTTACACAGTGATGATAATCTTCACTGGAAAAAAAATTACATAATAATCCTTACTGGATAAATATATAATATGTATCTAGTGGGGATTATATTATTCCTAAATTTCCCTCTTGATTAGTGCTATATTTTGCGGAATTAAAGATTAGTGATTAACCTGCAAAAAAAAACCCTACCTGGTCATGAAATATTAATTAAAATTTTAAATTAAAATTAAAAATTATTATTCCAAATTATATTACAAATATTATTTCTCACTAAAACTTTTTTTTCTAGCCAACAAATCAAAAAAGTAAATGTCTAATAATAAAAAAAATGTGTGAATACATCCCTGCTTTAGTTTACTTAAAATTAAAGACATTCATATACTTCATACAGACATTCCGTGTATGAAGTAAACGCCTTATCTAAATAGAGCTAAACATGCATATACTAATGAACAAAAAAATATAACTATATAATAAAAAAAGTTATACATAGACGTATAAACTTACAATAAAAAAAGTTATACATAGACGTATAATATAAACTTATTACATTAAAATTATACAAATATATTTTACAAACAGATAGCAATATACGTTTTTGCTTTCCTCTTTCAATATAGGAAAATATAGGAAAATCATTCTTTTTAATGTCAACTTAAAACTGTTTTTTTTTTTTTTCATTCTTTGCTTTGCCTTATTAAATTTTGTTGCTGAAAATAATAAAAACTCTAAAGAAACAAAAATAAAAACAGCACACAAATTATATAAACTATTGATTTTTTTTTTTCTATTTAAATATATTTTGACTTCCTATTTTGTTAGTTTTGCTTTCTTTGTTTTAAAAACTTAGTTTTTTTCTGCAACACTTATTATAATAAAACTTGCAAACGGCCTTGACCAAGTTGTCTAAAATAAAATACTCATGCATACAAGAAAAAAAACCAATCGTGTTTCCTGGGAAGGCTCAATTTAAAAGGACATTAGGAGGTATATTATTATGTCATGCAGAAAGTACTGTTTATTAATCTATAAAATAATAATTAACTATTGTAAACAAATTTAATATTTTTAAATAATATAATTTAATTAGAAATGTGGGCTTTTTTTGCATTAAAAGAATCTGTTTCCATCATTTTAATCATTTGGATTTAAAATGAAATTACAGTTACAGAACAGGGGTCAGAACATCAAAGTTTTTTTTTTTTTGTATGTATTTAGGTGCTCCCAGAAGTCCTTACGGTCTTATAATAGAGCACCGCGGGAGAGCATTTAACAGGAAATTCATGCCTCCTTCCATACCAATGTCACTTGTTGGGCTGAAGCTGGCGTCGAACCTCAAACCTCTGGGTTCCTAGCCAGAACTCTAACCACTGCGCCACGGCTGCTCTAAAGTTATAGGAGAAGGGTTAGGTTATAGGAGAAGGGTCAAGTTATAGGAGAAGGGTCAGTTTATCAAATTATTAACTTCAAATCATTAAAGTAAGAACTTTTTTTTTTTTAATTTCTTCTAAAAAAATTTTTAACTAAGGGTTTCTCTGTTTGAAAAATTTTTAACTAATGGTTTCTCTGTTTAAATAGTTTGCAATTTAAACAGAGAAAGACTTAAAGGGATCCCAAACTTCCAACACATGTTGTGTTCATATTAAAGATAATGTTAAAAAAAAGGTTTGAACCAAGTTTTTTTGATTAAAAATAAATAATGAATGCATACCGAGAAAAACTAACGTTTTTGTTTTAGCCGAAACTCCCCTTCTCCATTTTTTTTCAATAACTCGGAGTCTTTAAATTGTACATCGAAATCTACACCCTTTGGCGATCCCTTTGAGGCGCGTTTAATTCATAAAAGTTTTAGTATTTGACGTCACGGTAGACTTTTAACAAATGAAACTCTAGAAATATTTTTATTTATTTTTATTCAAACTTTTTTTGATTATTTGTTAAGTTTTTTTTTCTTTCAATTTTTAACATTTAAAAAGATATTAAAAACCTCAAATATTGCTGGTTTGTTGCTATAAATTGTTATTGCGCCATATATTTAATGTATATAAATTGTGAATATTTATTATCTCAATCAAGATTCTGATAAAATTGTTTTGCATTAATTACCCTTATAAAATTAGTAACAGCATTTTTATTTGGTTAGACAATATTTCATCTCAATTTGCTTTGCATGAAGTTCGGGAAGTCAAGTGAAAGAAATTACTTTGAATAATCACTTTAAAATATATTTAAAACAAATTATTTTAATGACGGGGGTTTAAATGTTTTTTATAACAAATGTAGGTAAAAAATAAATAATTAAATAAAAAGTTCAACATTAAACATCATTTCTTTATTATATTGCAACTGTAAATATTGAAATATTAACTTGAACTAAATTTACTTATTATTTAGAACGACTAAGCAATAAAATTAAAAAGCCCCTAAAATTATGCGATATTGTGTTGTTTATTTGATAATTGTTGCTGGTAATGTTGTTTATGTTGATTATTTTCATTAATAGTAAAATAGTCCCAGATTAATCTGTTAGTTGCTTTGTTCATTGTTGCTTTATTTCTAATTTAATCTCAAAGTATAAACTTATGTTAAGAAAGAAAAGTTTTTATTTCATCGCTCGCTCTTTATAAAAAAGTAAAACAAAAGAGAAAGAAAAGTTTCGCGTAATTAAACTTCGAATGAATAAGAGTTGTATAGAATATATATTTTTTTTGCGTCACTCGTTCTTTTCTTAGATGAGAGAAATAAAAGTTTAATAATAACTTTTCTTTGAATAAATGAAAATTGGAAGAGAAAATTGCTTGAAAATTTGTATTTGTTGTGTTTTAAAATTTTTTTAATTTTTCATGTTAAGAGACAAATGCCAAATACAATACAAATTGGGAAATACCAAATGTAATATGTTTTTTAACGCACGTTATGACATTTTGACAATTTAAATTACCATTTATCTTGAATTTTTGCCATTAATTAATGTGTTAATTATTGTGTTATATAATAATAATTTGTCCATGTTTTTGTTAAATAATAGTTGAACAAAATGGGTGAAAATATACAAACTTCGTGTTTTTTATTTGATGGTTATAAAATATTGAACAGTAAACTTATAACCAAAATTTATAATGCCAACTTGTGTTGCTAATAATTGTACTTTTAATGCAAAACCAGGATCTCATATATCCTTTCACGAATTTTCATATCTGATACTACTGTCAACTGTATTGTTTAGTGTATTCTTGTACTTTTTTTTTCATAATCTTAACTCTAAATGGTTCTAAATGGTATGGAGTTGCCGACATTTTAAAAGTTTCATTATCAAAAATCAAATGTAAAATAAAATGATATTTTTTTTTCATCTGTATCCAATTCAGCAAATTTAGCAATTTAAAATAAATCAGCGTAATCAAAAATTTTTATAATAAAAAAAGTTAACAATTCATCAAATATCTCTAATTAATACTGTCAGTTTATGAAATTAATTGTTAATAAATACTTTTTTTCGAAGGGAAAACAAAAAATATCATAGCGTAAAAATAACCAGAGAAGTTAGAAAAAAGTTCCAGCTGTTTAAATAAAAATAAGTAAGATTCAGAATATATAATGCTGCGCACTCTTGCACAAAAACGAGAGACCCTATACATATTGTTCTGTATAATGTAAAACACTCGTATGAAAATCAAAAGATTCGTAAGTAAAGCTTTAATATTTATTTTAATTTAAAAACAAAAGAATTATAAGTAAGATATATAAATCTAAAAATTATTAAGGTGTCGGTAAAAAAAAAGTTTCTCCTATGAAATAAAAAGCTTTTATTATTTTTGATTTTTACAAAAATTTGTTGTAAAAGTTGTTTTGCTGTATGTTAAAAAATTACTACATCGTACTTTTTGAATTAAAGTAGAAAAACGCAGCTTTGTTTAGTTACACTTTTCTTTAATTAAAAACTACTGTGACGTCAAATGCTAAAGCTTTTATGAATTAAACGCGCTTCAAAGGAATCGCCAAAGTTTGTAGATTGCGACGTATAATTTAAAGACTCCGAGTTATTAAAAAAAACGGAGGAGGCGAGCTTCGGGTAAAACAACAACTTAGTTTTTCTCGGTATGCATTCATTATGTATTTTTAATCAAAAAAACTTGATTCAAACCTTTTTTTTAACATTATCTTTAATATGAACACAACATGTGTTGGCAGTTTGGGATCCCTTTAAGAGTTGTCATGCTTCTGTTATTAAAAATCTTTTGAAGGATGGCTAAATAAAGATAAATTTGCCATGCTTCTGATATTAAAAGTCTTTTGAAGGATCGCTATAAATTTGTCAAACTTTAGTCATAAATATAATTAAATATTTAAATATAAATATAGATAAATATTTAAATAAAAATATAGCTAAATTTTATAGGAAATAACAGAAAGCGAAGAAGAAAGTTGAAGAGCAAGAAAACTTAAAAAACTTTTCTTACTTGTAGAAAAAACTATTATTTGTTTCTAAAGCTACCTGTTATAATTAACAGAAAATTTTTAAATAATTACTAAGTCTCATTACTAGAAACTAGAAAAACTTTAATTTGCA